ATGTGAAGTTGGATGACTAGTAACATCACAATGATTCTTCTCAAAGATATACGTAATGTAGCTCATAGGTAAATATCCCATCATAAGTTTTTTTTGTATGCTAAGGTATTTGCTATGTGCCTGTGATGCACAAGGTTTGTGCACAAGTGTTTGGCTTTATTGGTATATCTCATTTTAGAGGGGCAGGAATGTCCTCCTCAGGTCTGCAAGAGATATAGTGCTGAGCAATCAGGAAGAATTCCACTTGAGTCAACTGGGAAATATTCCTTATCATATGTACTGAAGGGGCTAGTGCCTAAATCTGGTCCTTTATTGATTGTTTGCTGTGTAACCATATTTTATAACTGTTTTCTGAACACTGAGGGACTAATATTTTCAAGTTTAAAAGACCAAGCCAGGGGCTCCTGGATGCTGGGTGGCAGGTGGCTGCCAGGGGGTAGATGGGGCTAGAGTTGGGAGCTGGGAAACATGTGACATGAAGTGGGTGGCCAGAACTGTGTTCAGTACCTGGAACTCCTGGTTCACCCAGTCCCATGCCTCCTTGCACTGTTCCTGCTCCCCCTCACAAGTGATTTCCTCTGGCTGCCACCATCCTGGTGGGACATGTCCTCTGTCCACCAGGCATGAGCATCCCCCAGATGGTCCTCCAACACTATCACCAGCCAGTCCAGGAGGAGGGTTCTGTCCAGGATCATCCTCTGGTGAAGCTGGTACATCTGCATGGCCTCAGCTATGGGCGGTGGTGACTCTGAGGCTGCATCCCAGCTGCCAAGGGTGGCCTGTCCCTCATGTGCAGCTGTAGGCCCTGTAGAGCCATAAGACAGAAGCTGTTTGTGAGTTTGCAACATTTCAGAGATATGATGCTCTGTACCAGGGGCTGTGCAGTGCCCAGCCTCAGATCACGGGTCAGGCATGCACAGGTGGCCAGGGACCATGGTAAGTTGGCTGGGCAGGCCTGGGTCCCAGTGGCCGCCAGCTGAGCACTGCTCCCCGCTTGCTTCCCTGGGTCCGGTGGGCTGCTGGGTGATGGCCACAGGCAGTCTGCCTCCCTTTCCCCATTCCCAGGGTGGGACAGGCCAGGCTCCTGACAGCACCTGCTGCCATGGCTCCAGACACTGCTCCCCTCCCCCCACACTCCTGTCTTCTGGCAGGCCAACCTTTCTGCTGTGCTACTGCCCAGCCTCTGGTGCCTGGGCTCAAGAGATGTGAGGCTCCTGGATGACTGGGATGAGGAGCTGCCCATGCCTCTGCCTTCCCTGCAAGGGACCTCTCTGGTGAGGCATGCTGAGGCCAGCTCCCTATGTGCTGGTGCTGCACCCCAAGAGTACCCCTGCTGCATGTGCCCTGGGCAGTGTGTTAGGGCAGTTTGCATGGACTGAGGGGTACCAGACCCACTATGCTCTGTTGCTGCTGATGGCCATGGTGCTCTGGGTACACCTGTGCACCTGGTATGGGATCCTGGGCTATGATGTGGGTGTGGGGGGAAATCCTGGGCTGCCCCACAACCACCACCACCACCTGGAGGGCTACCTGTGGCTGCACTACACATCCATGCCCCCTGCAGCTGAGGAGGACATCACCACTGGTTTTGATGCATTCCTCAGCATGAGAGGTCTGTGACCACCTAGGTGTGGGGGCACGGGCTGCTCAATAAAGTTTGGCATTGTCTCCTGCCTTCCTGCATGCTGGGACAGGGAGAGAATCTGGGACCAGGAGAGTGCTGGTGGGCTGGGTGGGAAGGGGGAGGCAGGGGCTGGGGACAGAGGCAAGGGAAGAGACAGAGTCCTCCTCCTTGAGCAGGACTTACCAAATGGCCAGGGATGGTATAGCTGGTGGCTCCATGCCGTCATATCTGTTGGCAATGGTGTGTGGCTCTGGCTGGGGCCACCCCTGAGGAGGAGCTGGTGCTGCTGGAGGTTTGTGGTGCCATGATTGGCTGTACCTCATGGTGGGGGCTGGGGCTGTGAAGCTGGTATGGCAGGTACTGGCCTGGGTTCCCTAAACTGCTGGTGGAGGGTGGGACACCCAAGGGACCCTCCTCCAGTGACATGTCACTGGGGTTGCTGGGCCAGGGTGTGGGGCTCAGGCAGGCTACCTGTGCTGCTATAGACAACATGGGCAATGGCCTAGGTACCAGGGCATGAGAGTGTCTGTCAGTGTCCACATAAAGGGTATGGTTATGTGGGCACTCCCTGACTGACAACTGATTGGTGATGGAAACCCACTATGCCTACAAGATCTTGACCTTTATGTGGCACTGCCATGCCAACCAGTTGTGTCTGCACTCCTGCATCCAGGCTGATAGCTCCTCATAGATGTTGGCATTGGAGTGCCTTCCTGCTCAGACTGGCACTGCACTTCTGCTTCACCCCACAGCACCACAAGGTCACCAGTCTCCTCCATGGACTAGTTGGAGGCCCTGGGTGGTAAGGTCATGTGTGGGCATGGCCGCGGATGAGGAGGACACCAGTGTGGGTCCTGCGCTGGCTCTCTGGGCTTCTGCACTGCTGTCCTTGTGTTGCTGGGCCTGGACAGTGGCCTACAGCACCCAGTACAGGGGTCCAGCACAGCACTGGCAGCCATGCAGCAGAGGCAATGCCCCACAGCACCTTAGGAGCATTGCCTGCTGGGGGTGGGCTGAAGGCAGGAGGAGCTGGCCCTGGGAGCCAGTAACTAATTGCAAGTAAATTTGCTACCTGTGTTACTTGTGATTAAGTGTTTTTACTGTACAGTAAGCATGTGAACTTGTAGATGCACACAATAAATTATGCTATGGTGCAGTTAAGTGTCTCGTGTGGACATGCCCCTTGAGTTTTAGATTACTTTATCAGCAGTTCTACTCCTCCTCATGTCCTTGTAAGGTATTTAGCAGAATTCACAGATTAATTGGAATCTGATAGGGTTGTGCTGTGAGTGCTTCTGCTATGTCCTCAAACTTGCAACTTTTCAGCTGTCAACCATACACTTTAGCAGTCCCCATTCATGGAGCAACACAGCAGAATAAAACTGACAATTTTTAATCTAAGTGGCCCTGCTTCAAGGATGTGAAGTTGAAAAATGCCAAGGATGTGAAGTTGAAAGAAGCAGGAACCTGAGGGTTTATCCTTTAAATACGAGAATGCAGCTGAAGCTTACCCAAGCTTAAGCAAGGTGACCTATGGATGAATGAGGAAAGATACTGTGCATCCCCACCTGTTGTTACTGGATGTGAAGTTCTACTTGATGTGCCTAAGGATAGCAGTTGAGTTCACAGGATATCCATACATATGTCTGGTCCTATATGTAAAATGAGCATAACAATACTTAACTCTCAGAAGTTTTTTTGGATCAATCATCAGAAATCATCAGAGATCTGGAGATAGTATACGAATAGAATAAAAATGCACATTTATTCCTTATTCATGATTTTTAGGATTAAGATTTTACCAATATAAATACTTTTAGTAAAAGTAGTTATTGCATAAAAATGTCAATAAATTGGAGTTTCATTGCAATTTTTCTATATTTATCTGCCAATGAGAAATGCAACTTCTTACAAAAGCATATATTTAAAAAATATTTTATGAGTATACTATTTCTTTACTGCCTCAAGTCTTCATGAAACAAAATAAAACTTTTTTTGGGGGTATGGAATAGTTTTGAAGCTTCACTAGAAACTCATCAACTAAGATGTTTTTGCTTATGAGCCAGCTGGATGTGAATATATATCTATTATGTTTTTACCTGTGATGGAAAAAACCCCCAAAAGCTTTTTATCCATATGCTTCATTCTTGTTGAATAGTTTATTTAATGCCTTACTGTAGGAGTCAAGATTTCCAAAAGTAAGTACCACTGAATTATTCATTATGCAATATCAGATCCTTGCAAATTTCACTCGGCGCTTTTTCCTTTTCATTTGTAATCCAAGTTGCAATGAAAATGACTAATATATTTTTCCTCATCTCTATGAAGTAGAAGTGATTAGGGGAAATTTCAGCATTCAAGGACTTGAATATATTATACTTGGCTTCCCCATGGATGTAGGTCTGTCCTAGACCCTTTCAGAATTAGTGTTATACCCTCATTGATTCAGAACTGTGGACAGCGTTACTTCAAACTAAACATTTTGCCTAGCAATAACAGGAGCTAGACTTCCAAAATTAGTTGGGCATATGGCCAAATGCATTGGCAAATGTGTATGACCATGTTTGGCAGAAAAATGAATAATTTCAAATGTTGGCATGCATTTTAGGTTCAGTTCCTTTTAAACTTGTTCTCGCTGTTGGGTCTGTTTCAGGAAAGCATGTACTTGTATTTATTGTTACTGGGATTTTATCTGTATTTCTGTTGCATACTAGACACACTACATACAGCAAATGCACAGATCAAGATTTTCCAAGCTAACCCATGGCTCAGTTTTTAAATGTCTTATGAAAGGCACCTTAAAGACTTAGTGGTTTTATTTTTTTAAATGATGAGTACTTATATTCTGATAAACAGGCCCATTTATGTTGTATCATGCTGGACAGCAAAATCACCAGTCTTTTTTTTTTTTAAATAAAGTCTTGTTCACTCTGTAAAATACAAATACTTCTTATTAGTCATAAATCTCCATAAACAACAGGCTCTAACAGCACCTAACACAGTCTTTTAATAGCTTCCATTATCTCTTATTATCCTTTCTTACCATGGCCTATTCATTTTCCTTTATACATACATGAAATAATGAATAGTTCTTGTGCTAAATCTACAGAATTTCTGGTCCTATAATTCCCACTGGAAAGATAAGCCTTTCTAAATCTTCTGTGTTGGCATTATCACAGCAGCATTTCTTTTATTGTCCCCAAATTTACTGTTTTATTAGCCCAAAATGGAGCAAATCAAATCAGACTAATAATAATTTATCTCATGATATAATCTTTATCTAGTGATGAGAACACAATTTGGTAATTATTTTAATTGGTTCTCAGTGAAAAATACTGTTCTGTTTGTTTGTGAACTCTTTGTCCTAGACACGTCATCCAGTCATGTTCTATGCCTGCAGATAGACCACCTAGTTGGAATCCAGCATGTGTGTCTAAGTTCTGTGTGTGACTGCCAGAACACCCGCCGATGTGCTGACTTCCTGAGGTATTGTTTGTTTTTAAATTGCTTCATATGAATCTAGAGTCTAAAATAGTGAGACTGTTCTGGAATAATAGCTGTGGAGGTATTTAAATCCCTTATTTAGCCACAGAATGGGCACAGGGAAGAGCAAATTAAACATTTTGCAAATGACTGCCAGTATACATCACTTATGACATAGAGGACCATTTCTAAGAGGGAGATGATTGCTGATGCTTCCATGCCCATTCAACTTAAGAGGCCCCCAAGTTGAGTAGTCTTGATGACAGTACAGATAACTGAGAGAACCAAAATATTTCCCAGTTTTCAGCATACATTTGAGAGAGAGAAACACAAGATCATTTACCACACTTAAGACTTTATCCCCCCCAGTTTGGTAAAATTTCATAATTTGAGATGTTATATCATTCATGTTATGCAGTCATTTCCATACTTTCAGGATTGCCATATACTTATAACCTCTTAGCTGAGCACAGTGCAAAGTATTCCTTAGAAATTGAAGGCCAGGCACAAGGAAGCTCTTAGAAACTGAAAGCAGTGCTTCTGCATGAAGAGTCAATCTTGTTGAATGGAAAACAGAGATACCTGGTTTGCATCCTGAATCAGTAAATCTTGTTTGGATGCTTTTGATTTTTAATTAACAGTTGTGATTTTCATAGATAGCATTAATTTGGATAGCATCTTGACCTCTGATATTCAAAGCATGCCTACAGCCATTGAGTATATATAGATCTTATTTTCTCCTGGTGTAAGTTGGTTTTTACATCTGATTCCAGGCATGCAACAGTAGAGGCACCATCATAGCATTGATTGGGACAGTTGCTGAAACTCCAATGTAGACGTAATATATATCATTATACAGGCTATATTGTACAATCCAACAAACTTCACAAACACTGTTTTTTTTCTTATATATTGCAGCTGTAGTCCCACATGCTTTTTAGTGGAGAAATCTGTTGTTTCACCTATCATAATTATATACCACTTTCCAGAAATTTTCTCAGAAATAAGCCACGTAGGTTCAAGACACGTGATTTTCATAACTCATAAACAAATGTATGAATTTGTTTAGATTGTTTTTCATCCACTTTCAAATATCAGTATCATATTTTACTTACCAACAGGGAAGTTGAATAAAGTTCCCAACAAGTTCCCATTTTAGGGCATATTTTCAGCTGGTTAATATAATGACCTTGCTACATAAATCCACACCATACAAGATAAAGCATATTACCTAGAGTTGTCAATGGGATTATTTTTTTTACCTGAGAGTGCTGTAAGTTCAGGTACCAACATTCTTTTTGGTCTTCTGAAGATTATTAGCTGCTTCTAGGTAACATGAAGGTTGATTACCTTTAAATTTATTTTAAGCATTTTTCCCCAATCAGAGTGTCCAATCTGTATGAAAATCTCACCTGTGTGCTTAATCAAAAGTACTTTGTGCTTGAAAGCTGTACAGCATTAGAAACAAAGTATTCTGTTGCTGGCTTCAGAGTAATGGCATCATTGAAAAGCACCAAACCAGGATGAGTATAAAAATGACTATAGTTATGCGTGTGGAAAATTTAAGTCATGTTTGACGAGTTGACTCAGAAATGCTACTGGTGTCAGGCATCTGGTTCTTGTTGTAGGTGATGGTAGAGATTATGAATTAGTACAACAAGCAGAAGTTGATCCATTTGTTCTCTGATATGGTGGGTTTTTTAATCAACTATGTTTTAAATGACTTAATTGTGGCCCCTTCAAAGTGCAATGTATTTATACTTCAATCTGTCACTGAGCAGTACGAAAGACATGAGATTGCCAGAGTATTGTATATATTTTTAATTTTGTAATATCAAACATGTGGGTGGCTTCTTCGTTTTAAATACCCAATGGGTTCTTCATAGAATAGTCTCTAGATTGGGGGTGGGCAAAATGGTGGAACCAGCCAGCAGCCAGACTCCATTCCCCAGCAGCCCCTGCCCTCATGGTGACCCCAGCCACAGTTGTGCTGTGATAGCACACAGCTGGGATTGCCAAGGACACCAGCCCCAGCCATGCTGGCAGGGATCCCAGCATATCAGGGGGCTGCTCTGGAGCTGCCGTGATCTTGAGGTGGTGTCAGCTTAGTCTGGAGCCAGGACAGACCTGCAGCCTGCATAGGGTTGCACAGGCAGCAGTTTGCAGCTCTTCCCCAGCTCCTGACTAGGCTGTCACTGCTGTAAGGAGATGGGGCAGAGCTGTGATCCACTGCCTGCACACACCTGCTCGGAGCATGCAGGTGGAAGATCGTAGCTCTGCCCTAATCTCGACCAAGCTGCCCCTGCTGCAAGATCCCAGCACCTCCAGAGCAGTCCCCTGCCCTGCCATGCACCCTGCCAATGCGGCAGGGGCCGATGTCCATGGCAACCCCAGCCTTGCAGTATCACAGAACAGCTGTGGCTGGGGTCTCCACAGAGATTGGCCCCAGCCTTGTGGGAAATGGAGTCCACTGCCAGCAAGATCCAGCCTATGGGCTGGACTTTGCCCACCTCTACTCTAGATGATGAAGAATGAAATGGAGGAACACGTGATGTGTTGATTACTCTGGAAAGCAACTGCTCTTGTATTTTACCTGTATCTCTCTCAGTTTCTTCTCTATAGAATATGGCAAAGAACAGTTGAATTCTATTAGCAGATGTTTAGGATTGTGAATCCAAAAAGATGACAAAGCCAGTAGGGAAATACAAATCACCCGAGTGAGGGACTAACATTAGAGGGATCGGGGTGAGGAGGGGAACACAACTAGGTTACAGAAAATACAATGTTAGCCAACTAAGCCTGGATGGTGAAGGAAGTAGTTCGAAGAAAGTGTCTCAGTCCATACAGTCTCATCGCGGGGGTTCTCTTCTGGTGGGGTGGGGTCATCTGTTGCTGAAGAATCCTCTCAAAGTCCAGTCCATCTGGTGCAGAGGGGGGGTTCAGGCAGTCCTCTCTGGGTCCAGTCCGGCGGCGGTTTGTCTAGTGAGGTCGGAGTACTGGCAGTGGCCTGTGATGTGTTCCACGTAGATGTCACGGGACCAGTGCTACCACTGAGATGGCAACAAAAGGGTCAAAGAGAGACAAAGAATCACTTGCTCTCATAAGAGGAGGAGGGAAAACACCAGCTTGTCTAGAGAAAGGATTAGAGAAGCAGAAGTAGATGACCTGCAACCAGGCATCTAGAATTCCCTTTCATGGCTAAGTACAGATAGTCAAAAAGCCTAAGGCTGAATCAATTCAATCTTTGCAGGTTATTCTAAGCTGCTGA